TCCTTATATCCAGGAAGCAGACCACATCCCAAAGGCAGCTACTCAGCTGCTTGTGGTAGATCCCACCATGGAGTTGATTGCCAGTCTCATCATGGGAAATAACTACCACCAGCTGCCCAGCCACTCAACCAGGCCCAGCCAAGTTGACACACAGACATAACCGCCACAGTAGCTCTTCCCTATGTCAATCTGTCCTATGCGTTCGTGCCCCCTGAGCTATCTCCCTGTGCAAACACTGCCCTTCTGTTCTCCCACGATTCTAAGGAGTGTATCTACCTGATGTAAATGTTCCCCCTATATGCCTGTCTGTTATTTGGCTGGAAACCACAGGAGTGAGTTCAATTCCAGGCCTTAAGGGTAACTAGGGGCCATAGTCTTGAGGGTCTCACCAGGCTCCATCAGACCAGTGCAACTGATCTTTTTTACAATTTTGAGTTTTGTTCCACATTGATCTCCCACTCCATCCAGGATCTCCCGCACTGATCCCTTTCTGAGTGGTTGACAGTGGTAGCTGGGCACCATCTAGTCCTTCCTTCTGGTCTCACGCTCATATAGGCTGAGGGTCACATGATCCACTAGTCCAGGGGCTATATGTTGAGGATCACTGGTTAGAGCATAGGTTCTGGAACCAGACACCGTGGGTTCAAATCCTGGCTCCGCTTACCAGCTTGTGACATCAGGCAAATTGCCTTCCCTTCCTTGAGCCTTGGTATCCTCATCTGCTCGATGGACACATGATTGTCCCTCCCCTTCATGGATCCTGAGGACTCTGAGATCCATAGGACCCAGCTCAAAGTGAGCTACCCAAACACGGGGTCCCCTGTGACAGTGGCCTTGGCAGAGCCCGTCTTGACCATCCTCTCTCCCCCAGAGTGCACCCCCACCACTATGTCCAAGTGGTCGCACCCCAGACCTGAAGGCTCTGCTCAACGTGGTAGACAGCGCTCGGAGCTTCATCTACATTGCGGTCATGAACTACCTGCCTACCATGGAGTTCTCCCACCCACGCAGGTGCTGTTAGGGTGTGGACAGGGCTCTGGATAGGGCCCCACTGCAAGTGGGAGAGGAGATGGGAGGGAGGGCGTGATGAGCAGAAGAGGGGCGGAAAGGGGGCCAAGGAAGGGGCTAGATGGAGGGAGAGCCACGGGAAGAGACAGAGGAGGTCTAGGGGCTTGAGACAGGAACAGGGTGGGATTACTGGGATGGGGTGATGTACAGGGAGGCAAGAGGAGAGGATGAGAATATCGGCATTGGAGGCAGGGGTGGGGGACTAGAGGTATGAGGTGCAGGGGCAGGGGGTGGGGGACTGCAGGAGGTAGCAAGCAGGGAGTGTGGGCTGGAAACAGGTTGTAGAGCTTGGTGTTTGGGAAGCAGGGATGGGCTGATAGTATTAGGGTTGGGGATTTTTGATCTGAGATAGGAGGAGGGACTGAGGGCCAGGGATGGGGGGATGGTAGACTTGGGGGACTGAAGAATGTTGTTGGGAAGCAGTGGACAAGACAATGGGAGGATTGAGATCTGGAGAAGAAATGGGGTATATGGAATGTGGAATTTGGGAGGCATAAACTGGGAGCCAGAGGTGGGGGTTTGGGGGTTCTCAGAAGCTGAGCAGGGCCCAGGCTTGGACCCAGGGATGAAGGTAAGACTGTGCACAAAGCCACACTCCACACCCACCGCCCCAGGTTCTGGCCTGCCATTGACGACGGGCTACGGCGGGCCTCCTATGAGCGGGGTGTCAAGGTGCGTCTGCTGGTAAGCTGCTGGGGCCACTCGGAGCCGTCCATGCGGGCCTTCCTGCTCTCCCTGGCTGCCCTGCGTGACAACCACACCCACTCTGACATCCAGGTGGTAAGTACCTGCCCACACCCACCCCTCAGCCCCTGCGTAGGCAGTCCCGGGACACAGCCCCCACAGACCTCTCATGTCACCTGATAGGGACGACCAGCGTGAGCTGTGTTGTCATGGGGAGATCATGGGGCCGAGGGGTCACATCGGCATAGGGGAGATGGCAGGCAGAGGTGTCAGGGCCGGGCTGGGACGGGGAGGCACAGAGTGGGTGGCCAGGACAGGGCCAGCACTCGTAGAAGTTGGAGCTGGGACAGAGCGGCCCAAAGGAAGCACCTGTCCCAGCCTGAGACTTTCTTGAGAAGGGGAAATCTGAGGGGTGAATAGGAGCCATTCCAGAGGGAACAGGGTGGCAGTGAGGTGACTCAGTCACTCCCGTCAGCAAGTGTGTCCGAAATGCCCACTACACTAGGCCACCTTTGCCCCCCGAAGATTCTGTGGAAAGAGCTGAGTCCTCACTCACAGACTTCGTTCCACATCCCACCCTGACCCTGCTAGATGGACACAGTGATTGTCCCTGTCCTTCATGGAGCCTGAGGACTCTGTGAGATCCACAGGACCCAGCTCGAAGTGAGCTTCCCAGTCCATCCGACATTCCACACTCCTTCTCATCCTTCCTCCCCTCAGAAACTCTTTGTGGTCCCTGCGGATGAGGCACAGGCCCGCATCCCTTACGCCCGAGTCAACCACAATAAGTACATGGTGACCGAACGTGCCACCTACATCGGTGAGTAGCCCCAGGGCCCCCGATGGGGTGGAAGGGGACAGGGAGCGCTCTGGACACCAGGGCCTGGCTGCCCCCGTGGGGCCCTGACGTTCAGCACCCTCCACCGCATAGGAACCTCCAACTGGTCTGGCAGCTACTTCATGGAGACGGCGGGCACCTCATTGCTGGTGACCCAGAACGGGCGGGGCGGCCTGCGGAGCCAGCTGGAGGCCGTGTTCGTGCGGGACTGGGACTCCCCTTACAGCCATGAACTTGACGCCTCGGCTGACAGCGTGGGCAACGCCTGCCGTCTGCTCTGAGGTCTGGGCCAGTGGGCAGGCTTCAGCCTGCATGGCCCCTGTGGACCCAAGTGCCCTGGGTCCAAGTCCCTGTCCCCATGCCTCTGCTTCTGTCTGCCCCATTGTGGCCCCTGCAGGCACCCCTGCTCTCCCACCTCTACCTCCATCCCCACTGGCCGACGCTGTGGCCCTGGGACCCAGCGGAGCTCGGGGAGGGATCAGCCCCCAAAGAAGTGGGGATGCATGCTGGGCCCAGCCCCCTGGCCCACCCTCTTTCCAGGGCAAGGAGGGCCCAAGGTTATAATATTAAGTAAATAACTTGTCTGTACAGCCTGGGCCTGAGTGTGCTGAGGTGGGACATTGGGGCCCAGGAGGAAGCTGGCATGGGCCTCTGGTGGGGGCAGCTTCGTGTCGCTGAGCCCTCGGGTGTCATCTGCCGGGCCAAAATGTGCTGAACCCGCAACACGTTACCTGTGGGGGCTGGTGTGTACTGAGCCTTCGGTGTGACTGGCGTGTGCCGAACATTGAGCATGTGGCCCTTGTGGACTGGTGTGTGCCAAGTCCTCAGTGTCTGACCTGTGTAGACCGGCACGTGCGGAGCCCTCAGTGTGCAGGGCACGTGAGCACACAGTGTGGGGCCCAAGGGGCCTGGCACGGACTGAGCCTGCATCACGTAGCCAGCGTGGATTAGCGGGTGCCACACACTCGGCATGTTCCCAGCCATATCCCGAGGGTGAGTTAGCATGTCCTGCACACTGGAGTGTGCGCCACGCGGGCCACTGAACTTACACTCGCATGTCCAAGCATGGGTGGGTGCATGTCAAGCCCGTAGCATGTACCGAGAACAGCTTAACTGACAATGAGCCCTTAGCTTCAGGCAAGCTTGGATTAGCACATGCTGAACACAGCATGTTATGAAGGTGGATTCTCACGTGCTAGGCGTGTAGCATAAGGAGCTCGGGTGGTGCAGTGGTTAAAGTATTTGTTCAAACCACCAGCTGGTCCATAGAAGAAAGATGAGGCAATCAGCTTTGTAAAGACTGACAGCTTTGTAAAGACTGACAGCCTTGAAAACCCTACGAGGCAGTTCTATTCTGTCCTCTAGGGGCACTGTGAGTCAGAATCGACTCCATGGCGGTGCATTTGGTTTGGGCTTTGTTTCCATAAAGATTGAAAAAAAAAAAAAAAAAACCAGACCCACTGCCATCAAGTCGATTCCAACTCATAGCGACTCCCATTGGGTTTCCGAGGCTGTAAATCTTTATGGGAGTAGATGACCCCATCTTCCTACAATGGAGCAACTGGTGGATCTGAACTACTGACCTTCTTGTTAACAGCTAAATGCCTTATCTACTATACCACCAGAGCTCCTTTCCATAAAGAGTACAGCCTTGGAAACCCTATGGCGCAGTTCTCTTCTGTCCTTTAGGGGCGCTGTGAGTCGGAATTGACTTGCTGCTGTAGGAGTGGGTTTGGTTTTGGGGCTGTTTAGGCACTTAGCGTATTTAGGGCACAAGCAGAGCCTTTCCTTTTAGTGCCATTGGCAACAGTCCAGTTGGTGCCAGTCACCTGGGACCCCACAGCAGGCCTGGGGCAGAGAGGACACGCTGAGGCAGGACTGCTCAACAGTTCTTTATTGAAATAGGCAGAGGCAGCAGGGTGAGGGCCTGCTTGGGGCCAGCAGGGGGCAGCCTCCTTCCTGCCTCCCTCTGGCCGCGGAGGGGGCCACAGGCCTGACCCCAAGGCCCTCAGAGATCTGGGGGGTGTCGGCGTGTGCCGTGGGCAAGGGGAGTAAGGAGTTTCTGGATAACTGTCTTTCTGGAAGAAGAATCTGTGGGTTCTGGGGACGGCTCTGAGGAGTAGTTCAGGTTGAGAGGCAGCGCCACCCCAGTGATGGGCAGGGGTGGGCTCACCCTCAGTGGTGCCCGCCAACGTACTGCAGAAAGCCTGTGGCCCGGGGGTGGCGGGGCGGCAGACCCTGAGCCCGTGGCCCCCTGACACCGTCCAGGCTCCAGTCTGGATCACTCAGCCATTCCCCAGGACAGCTGCTGGGGTCGAAGAGCTTGGGGCCTGGCCTCTGGGAGGGAGAAGACAGGGCATCAGCCAAGAAGCCCTTTGCCCCAAGAACCACTAGTCTGCCCTTCACACACGCCCTCCTGTTCCCAACTGACCCTCAGTCACATCCTGAGGGTGATTAAGTGGGATCTCAATCCTCATTACCTCCTGGAGGTGAACTGGTGTGTGCTGAGACCTTAATGTGTCCTCAGGGTGGGTTAGTGTGAGCTGAGCCTTACTGCTGAGTGTGGGTAAGTGTGTACGGAGCCTTATTCCTGAACGTGGGTCAGTGTGTACGGAGCCTTATTCCTGAATGTGGAGTGTGTTAAACCTTACCACATCATCTTGAATGTGGGTTAGTGTGAGCTGAGCCTTACTCCTGAGTGGGCGTTAGTGTGCTGAGCCGTATATCCTGTGGGTGAGTGTCTATTAAACCCTGCACCAGCAGCAGGCAGTGCAATGCAGATAGGAGGCAAGGCCTGGTTAACGGTCCTGTTACTGGGGCAAGGGGGGAGGTCCTGGCCCCAGAACCACATGCCACCTGCCCAACCACCTGGCATACCTCAGCATCCATGGCCAGGTCCTTGATGTTGGGCCCATCCCCGTTCCGCTGAGGGATGGTGGGCGGCTCAGTGGAGGCCCCGTGGCGCTCTCCCTCTTCCCAGCCGCTGCCCCGGCAGGGCCCCTCATCCTCTGGGGAGGCGTGGCTCAGCTGGATGAGGTTGCTGAAGTTGGAGTCGGACTTGGAGCCTGCAGGCGCCTTGCAGGCCTTGTGGCGCCCTGCTAGGCAGCTGCCGTAAAAGGCCAGGATGGGCTCAGGGCCCGAGTCAGGCACGCGGTGGCCAGAGCCAGCTGCCTTGAGTGGGGCCAGCGTGCCGGGGACCACATCCGCACAGCTCTCACCCCACAGACCCCGCCCTGCCTCCTGCAGACTCAGGTCGTCCAGCTGGTCGATGGTCCTTTGCATGCCCGGTGCCTTCTCCTCGGGGAAAAAGGGCCCGCTGCCCAGGCTCACGGCCTCCTCCTCCTCGGCCAGCGGGTAATAAGGTGGCCCGTCGTCCAGGACAGCCACAGCGGGTGCCAGCGGCTTGCCCTCCACCTGCAAGGAGAGACGGTAGCTGCGCAGCGAGAGCTGGTAGTAGCGTGTGGACTCGTGGGCACTGCGCAGCTGCTGCATGGACACGAAGGGGTGGCGCAGGGCAGCGCTAGGGCTGATGCGCTCGTGGGACTCCCACGTCAGCATGCGTTTGATCAGCTCCACCATGCTCTTGAGGTCGGCGTGCTCGGCCATCGCCTCGCGGTCCGGGAAGGCCAGCCGGCTGGCTGCCCCCCCACCGTTCACCATCTCAATCTGGTCCAGCGACTTCAGCATGTACTTGCGCCGCTCCAGTGGGCGCACCTGATGGGGCACAAGGGGCATGGGGTTGACGCCACGGCCGTCCCTGTGATGGACAGGTGACTCCTGCCCTCCAGGCCGTCCTCAGGCAGCCCCTCAGCTCTCTTGCCACCATGGGGCCCACATGCAACTCCTGACTTTCCATCCTCGTTGTGGTCTAGCCTAGAGCTTGTTGCTACAAAGCCCATTCACCTGAACCCTGACTTCCAGTTCTGCCCGTGATCTGACTTGGAGCTCTCTTGCTGTTGGGAGGGCCACACACCTCTCTAGTCTAACCCAGAGCTGTCCTACTGCTGAAACAAGCAGGAAAACCTGGCTGTTCTTCATTCTTCCTGTTGTCTAACCCACAGCTCTCACTGATCCTAGACCAGTCCTCCCCAGAGCCATGGCCGAGCCCCTACCAGCAGTTAGCAAAGGGGCCACCTGAAACCTCTAGTTTTTCCTGGAGTCAAACCCAGATCCTTTTCGCAACAGCTCCCACACCTGATCCCAGACCTCCAGTCTTGGGCCCACGGTCGAACCCAGATCCTTCTCACTACACTAGAGTGTGGTAACACCCAGCTCTGGAGCTATTAGAGGAGCTGCTGTAAACTGTCAGTCCCACCTTTGGTCTTACCCAGATCCCCCTTGCTATGATAGCTCCCACCACTGGCCCCACACTTCTAGTCTTTCCTGCTCTCTAACCCAGATGCCTCTTGCTGCACAAGTTTGATGACCACAGACATGAAGACAGCAGAGGCTGCCTTAAACTTCCAGTCCCACCTGGAGTCTCATTCCGATCCCTCTTTCTGTTGCAATTCTCACACTTAACCCCAGACCTCATGTTTTCTCTCTGGTATAACCCAGACCCCTCTTGCTACAACAGCCCTTATAGCCCCTCTACACCTGACCCCTACACTTCCAGCCCCTGAAGTCTCACTCAAACTTCCAGTGCTACCTTTGGTCTCACTCGGATCTCTCTCGCTTTGACAACTCCCATAGCTGACCCCCAAGCTTCCAGTCTTCCCTGAGGTCTAATTTAGACTGTGTGTGTGTGTGTGTGAGAGAGAGAGAGAGAGAGATTTGGGTGAAAGTGTACAGAGCAAATTCATTTTCCATACAGCAGTTCATACACATTTTGTTTCATGACATTGACTGCAATTTCCCACAATGTAACAGCTCTCTTCCCACTTCCTCCCCATGGTTATTACCTCTTGCCTCCCATGCACTCCCACCCCTGAGCTATCTCCCTGTGCAAATACCACCCTTCTGTTCTCCCACAATCACTCCAAAGAGTGTATCTAGGTTCTTCTTGATGTGATAGCCCTCATCCCACCTGCCCCCCTACCTTGGTCTCAGCCAGGTAGTCGGCCGAGGACTTGAGCTGCCAAGGGTTGGTGGCCTCGGGGTGGGGATTGCGCTTGAAGAAGTGGTGGGCCTTGTGGGCAGCATGCAGCAGGTGGGGCTTGGGAAGGCCCTGGGTCTCACAGATGTAGCGCACCTGGTCGTACTCGTTGTTGCCTGGGTAGAGGGGCCAGCCAAGGTGCAGCTCGGCCATGACGCAGCCCAGGGACCACACGTCCACCTTCTCACAGAAGGGCAGGCCCAGCAGGATCTCGGGGGCCCGGTAGAAGCGTGACTGGATGTACGGCTCTTTTATGTAGCGCACCTCGCTGAAAATGCTGGCCGAGCCAAAGTCGATCACCTGTGGGTGGGTGGGTGGGCAGCCACGTGGCCATGGGTAAGCCCCAGGGGCAGCACACGTGGGCTTCCCCAGCTTCTCTCACCAGCGTCTTTCTGTGTCTGTTACTTGCGTTGTCTCTGTGAGTCTGTGTCTCTTGCTTATGTCTGTCTCTTTTGGCCTTTGTCTCTGGTGTGTGTTGGCCTTCATGTCTCTCTCTGCCTCTCCACTAGAAACTTATGCCTGTGATGGAGAGGGGCCCTCTCCATCAGCAAATCTTCCTGACTCCACCTTCTAAACAGATCCGGAATCTGTGTACTCATCCCACCCACGGCTCCCTGGTCCTGTCCACCAAGGTCTTCCAGCTACGCTAAACAGGGGCCCCTTCCCTTTTCTAGCCCCTGCCCCTCAGTCTCCTGCACACACACCAGGGACATTCTGTGAGCTCCCACATCCGAGCACATCCTTTCCCACTCTCGGCCCTCCTGTGGCTTTTATCACCTCCTGTGATTAAGGGGGCTCTGGTTGTTGTTGTTGTTGTTGTTGTTATGTGCTGTCAAGTCGGCCCCGACTCATAGCGACCCCTCCTTGGGTTTCCGAGGCAGTATCACTACGGAAGTAGGATTGCCCAACCTTCCTTCCGAGGAGTGGCTGGTGGGTTTGAACCACCAGCCTTCTGGTTAGCAGTCAAGTGCTTTAGCCACTATGCTACCAGAGCTCCCTGTGATTAAGGGGGCTCTGGTAGTGTAGTGGTTATATAGCACTCAGCTGCTAACCACAGTCAAACTCACTAGCCGCTCTGTGGCAGAAAGAAGTAGCACGCTGCTTCTGTAAAGATTTACAGCCTTGGAAACCCTATAGACACTTCTACTCATAATAATAATCAACGAAACCAAGCTCACTGCCATCACATTGATTCTGACTCAAACCGACCCCCATAGGGTTTCCAAGGCTGTAAATCTTTACGAAAGCTAACTGCCTCATCTTTTTTCTGCTGAGTGGCTGGTGGGTTCAAACCACTGACCTTTTGGTTAGCAGCCAAATGCCTTACCCACTACACCACCAAGCTCCTTGATATCATAACACCACTAATATCTAGAATAAGGAACTCTGGAGGTGCAGTGCACAAGGCATTTGACTGCGAACCAGAAGGTCAGCAGTTCAAACCCACCAGTTGCTCCACAGAAGGAAGATGGGGCAATCTACTTCCATAAAAGTTTACTGCTTGGAAACCCAGTAGGGGTTGCTATGAGTCAGAATCACCTCAGTGATGGCAGTGAATTTGGTTTTGAGTTTTAATATCTAGAACATTGTCTGGCACACAGCAGGGACACTGTAAAGTAAGTGAATGAATGAATGAGTACATGGGGTTTATATCCCTGTTGTTCTGTTTCTCTCTCTCGTTTGTATCTCTCTCTTATTCTTTTGTTGCAACTGCCTCTTCACATCACTTGCCACTGGCTGCCGTCTCTCAGCGTCCCCACCTCTGCCTTTGTACCCGTCCACTAGAAACGCTGTGTCCCTGGAGCCCAGGCCCTCTCTCGTCTTCATCATCAAGCACTGGTGACCCACTGCAGGCTCCTGGCACATGACCAGGAAAGATGCCGAGATAGCACCCCAGGGCTGACCCTCGCCTGTCTCTCCCATGCCTCTGGGGGAGCTGTCTGCCATTCTCACTCCAAGTCTCCATGACTCTAGCTCTGTGCTGCCTCAGTTCTCCTCTCCGAGTTCCTCTGCTTTCCACTCGGCCATCCCTCAACACCCATGTGCAGAAGGCAGTATCACAAAATGGTCATTAATCCTGACTCTGAAGCCAGAGTGCCAGGGCTTGAACCCCAGAGGGGCTGAGTGACCCTGGGCGCTCACTCAACGTTCATTCATTCATTCCACAAACATGGTGCCAACGCTGGCCAAGTGCTATGGATCCACCCTGTCTCCTACTGTACTTCCTAGGATCTCTGTCCTTCCATCTCTCGGACAGAATGCTCTCGCCTTTCCTCTCTCTGTATCTCTGTGTTTCTGACAACCATTCATTTAGTGCTGACTCCATGCCCGTTCTGTGTTAGGCGGTACTTAGGCCCCAGGCCTGCCATCATGGTGTGCGTTCATACCAGCTACCAGAGATGGACCCAGCAGCAGACAGAGGGGTCGAGCGGGGATGGAGGAGGCAGAGGGGTCGGGAAGGGACAGGGGAGGCACAGGCAGGGTACAGAGTCAGGGAAGGGGGAGCCCAGGGGCTGGTGGCCAGCCCACCACAGGCTTTCAGTAAATACTGAACCAGGTTGGCTGTGATGAGCAACGCCACTGCCATCCTTCCAGCTGTTCAGGACAACAGGCTGAGTCCCCCTGGAGTCCTCACTTCCTCACTCCATTTATCATCTGTCAGTTGTCTATAGCTCCAAACTCTACCCAGAATCCACCACAGTCTCCCCTCTCACTCCTCCTTCTCTGGTCCCATCCACCCTCATCTCCTGCCTGGACTAGTTCAGTCACTTCCTCACAGGGCCCTCGTCCTGCCCTGCTCCCAGTCTCTTCCCCACGTGCAGCCAGAGGGACACTGGAAACTGCCCAAGGAGATCATCTCCCTCCTCTGTATAACGCTACCCCGTGGCTCCATCTCCCACAGAGTAAAGCCAAGGTCCTCCCAGGCCCACAGGCCCAGCACGATCCTGCCCCGTCACCTCCCACATCTCCTTTCCTCTCTCTTCCTTTCATTCACTCTGCTATAGCCCCATAGAACTCTTTGCTATTCCTCAAATACAGACACCACACACTCTCCTAGCTCAGGGCTTTTGCACTGGTTGTCCCTACTGCCCCAATACCATTCCCTCAGATGTCTACATGGCTCAGTCCCTCCAGGACTTCCCTCAAAGACTGTGTTCTCAAGGAGGGCTCCCTAACCAGTACCTAAACATCTCACCCATCACCACCCCCTCCCCACGCCCTCCTCCTTCCCTGCTTTATCTCCTCCTCACTCAGGTGCCACACAATGTACTCACTTCTCTTGGGGGCTCTACCTCCCACACTAGAATGTCAGCCCCACAAGGCAGGACCACGCCAGAGGAGCCGAGCTCAGAAGGGACTAAAGACAGAGGAGACCTCAGGGCCAGGATGGGGAACAGGGGTGACATCAGGTCTGGGATAGGGAGATAGGGTTTTGGGGCCAAGATGCAGGAGAGGACTGAGTTGGTGAAACCTCAACATTAGAATGGGAGCCAAGGGTGACCCTAATGCCAGGAGGTGACTCCAGACCCACAGGAAGCTGGGAGAAGACAGGTGGAGGGACGTGAGCACCGTGGGTGACCCCACTCACCTTCACCCTGAAGGGGCAGCGCGTCTGGTCCACCAGCATGATGTTCTCTGGCTTCAGATCGGCGTGGATGATGGCCAGCTCCTTGAGCCGAGCCAGGGCTCTGAGCACCTGCAGCGTGACTGTACGGATGTGGCGGGCAGGCAGAGGCGCGAAGTTATTCTCCTTCTGGAACTCGAAGAGGTTTTGCTCCAGCAGCTCGAAGACCAGGTAGAACTTGAGGGCGTCGTGGAAGAACTCGAGGAAGCGGATGACATGGGCCTCCTCGGGGTCCAGGCCACGCATGCAGCGCAGCAGCTTCAGCTCGTTCTTGATGATGCGGTTGCGATAGGCGTCGTTCTTGAGGATCTTGATGGCCACCATTTCGCCTGTGCTCCGCCGCCAGCCCTTGGCCACCTCCCCGAAGGTGCCCTTGCCCAGCACCTCGATGATGTCGTAACAGTCGGTCTCTGACTGGATGGTGGCCATGGCGGCCCCGCTACCGGCCCCTGCCCTGCTGCCTCCCCCCAGCTGGCTCCGCTGCCAAGACCCACTGCCCCACTGCTGGCCCCGTGGACCCCCCAGTGGGGAAAAGAGAACCACACTCGTGCCTTCTCCTGCGAGCTTCGCCCCCACCTCCCTGGCTTCCCCCTGCCCCTCGGCCACACTGCGAGTCTGCCAGGGGATGCACCCCTCCCCCAAAGCCCACCTGGCTTGGGACGAGGGGGCCCAGGCCCCCTGAATGGGTTCCAGCGTTGCTGAGTGGCTCTGGTTCTGTTGTTGGAGACAGGACTGGAAGGGGGGGTGTGTGCTAGGCTGGGCCCCTCCCCCACCCAGTGGCGGAACCCTGGAGAGGCCAATGAGTGAAGGGTCGAGTGAGAGAGGTGGTCAACCGTGGACCTTGGGCATACAGGTACGTGGTATACCTACAGATGGAAGTGAGGAAAGGCAGGCTTTCCCGACTAGGGGAATGGCGTGGACCGTGATGTGAAAGCGTTTTGTGTAGAAATGTATGTTCAGAAAACACCTGCCATAGCTGGTGGCTGCCATGAGGGACTTGCCCAGGCTGTACAAGGTCCCGAGTGCCAGGCTTTATTCTGAAGGCACTGGGGAAGCCATGGAAGGGCTTTAAGCAAGGGAGGGCAGGTTCAGATTGCAGTGTCAAGAAGGGTGAATTGGAAGGGGCAGGAGTACAGGCCTAGAGCCTGGCAAGGAGGCTGGGGCAGGGTCCAGGAGCATGAGGCTGGGAAGGGAGAAGGCGGCGTGTGGATGAAGTTCTAAGGGCTGTGTGGACGGCCGCAAGGTCTGATGGGTTGTGGGGAAAGGAGGGAGTCATCTGGGTGAGGCCCAGAGCTCTGGCTTGGATAAAGATGGGGTGGTCCTGAGATAGGGGTGTGGACAACGAGCAGATGGGGGGAGATGCTGAGATCAGATTTGGAAATCTAACACCAAAACATTTAACTATGTATGGAGTGCTTTGAAAGCATAATCTCATCCTTACAACATACTAAGTAAGAACCAGAAAACTCTCAGGTAAATCAAAAAACCAAACCCCCTGCCATCCAGTCGATTCTGACTCATAGCACCCCTAGAGGACAGGGTGAAACTGCCCCCATAGGGTTTCCAAGGCTGTAAATCTTTAAGGAAGCAAAGCCCAAACCAAACCCACTGCCATGGAGTCCATTCTGACTCACAGCGCCCCTAGAGGACAGAGTGGAACTGCCCCACAGGGTTTCCAAAGCTGTAAATCTTTACAGAAGCAGACTGCCTCACTTTTCTCTTCTGGAGCGGAGCAGCTGGTGGGTTCTGATCGCTGACTTTTTGGTTAGCAGCCAAAAATGCCTTAACCATTGCACCACCAGAGTTCCTCTCTTTCAGGCAGCTAATCTTTTTTTTTTTTTAATTGTGATTTGGGTGAAAGTTTACAGAACAAATTTCTATACAGCAGCTCACATACACTGTCTCATGACATTGACTATAATCTCCCACAATGCAACAGCTCCCCTCTCACTTCCTCCCCATAGTTACCTCTTCCCTGTGTCCTTCCATCCATGCACTCCTGCCCCCTGAGCTGTCTCCCTGTGCAACACAGCCCTTCTATTCTCCCATGATTGATCCCTCCAAGGAGTGTATCTACCTAATGTAAACAAACGTTCAGCTCATATGCCTGTCTTTTGTTTGGTCAGGCAGCTAATCTTAATAGCTCTATTTTATGGAAGAGAAAATCGAGGCTCAAAGAAGTTTTAGAAATGGTTACCCCAACACAAGCAGTTTGCAATCAACAGCTGACCTAAAGGTTGGTGGTTTAAACCCATCCAAAAACTCCGTGGACAAAAAGCCTGGCCATCTACTTTTATAAAGATTCCAGCTGAGAAAACCCTGTGAAGCAGTTCTACTGTCCAACACACGGGGTCACCAAGAGTCAGAGTCAACTCAATGGCAGTGGGCACTGAACTGCCAAACACAGACTTGGATCCCAAGCAGCCTGGCACCAGAGCCCAGAGCGGATCCACCACCCCACACAGCCTCCTAGTTCCCAGAAGACACCCTGGGGAGGTGTCCAGGCCACGGGAACCTCCAGTGGACTTGGGAGTTTGGGAGCTGTCAGCACAGAGGTGAGAAGAGGAAGCCCCGAGAGGGTGTGGGGGTGGATGGGCCGCGAGGAGTCCTGAAAGCCCAAGAAACACAAGAGAGAGCAGCGGGGAAGAGAGATGTTGAAGAAGGGCTCTGAGAATCAAGACAGGGAGACAAGGATCCCCCATAGTAGCCGCAGAGAGGGCACTGTGGATGGAGGGTACCCCCAAATCTTGAGGTGCTGGGGAGGTGTGCCCCATTAAGTGTAGCTAACTCTTACAATGTTTGGCAGCGATGAGGAAAAAGCATGTGATGGGGCAGTGACCAAGCTGGGGCACCAGGTTAAAGGGACATCTGTGGGGGGGGTCTGTGACGTTTCAAGGACCTGGGCCTTCTCCTCTGGGATGGGAGGGGCAGTGGGTGAGGGCGGAGATTTGAAGCGTGAGAAGGACAGATCTGGGACCATGAGGAGGCAGGGAGATGGGACTGGTGAGCCTGCCTTCTTAGTCCAGTCTGGGCTGTCACAGGGACCCGTGGGAGTGTCTATAGAGGCCCTGGTGGGGGCTTAGGGCCTGAGATCCTCAGTGGGGTGGGGGAAGGGAGTCAAGGTCCAGCACTGGGCTGAGGACCCTGGTACGTCATCCCAGAAGGCAGCCAGGTGTCAGGGTGGAGGCTCTGTGCCCACAGTTCTGGAGACAAGACAGAAGGGGCCTCCCTGGGTAGGGCCTGGGAGGGGCAGTCAAACCAGCCAGACTGGAAGGGGAAGGGCAGGTTGCAAGAAGGCACCCTTGGCAGTGGGGAAGCCCTGGAAAGAGGGCAGTGGTTGGTGATGGTTCTGCTAAGGGCCCCTGGGGCCAACCCAGTGTGAGTCCCCGAGGACAGGTGGATCCCCCCCAGGGGGTGCCATGGCTGTGCTCTACAAAGGGCTAGGCAGGCCTCACTCTCACCCGAGCCTACCCCAAAGTTACCTTAACTCTTCTTACACCAGGGGTGGCCTATGTCTCCTCACACAGCCTGGCTCACCTCGCCTGAAACTTCCCCTCTGGAGCTCCTTTTTCTGCATACGCCCCACCCGCATGCCACACACACACACACAGCACACAGAGGAGACCCAGACACATGGCTACCTCTGGATTACTTTATTCACATGTCACAGCCGAGACGCAGGTGCACATGCCAGTGGGACAGGCATGGCTCTCCCACCCCAGCCCTGGTCAGTCGCCCACCTCCCACCCCGAGGGTTAGTGCTAGTTATCTCACATACAAGACAGAAGGAGGAGGGGGACGCCAGGCCAGGGCCCTCTGCCAGGGCCCTCAGACGACAGCAGCCTGAGCCCCCTCCATCCGGGTGGGGCCTGGAGCCCCTGTCTCTGAAAACCCCACACCGGGCAGCCGGACCCTGAACCCACCCTCCTCCTGGTCCCGGCTCTGGGCCTTGGGGCTAAGGGACACCCTGGGGAAGTGGAACTTGGATGACTTCTCCCCCCCAGGGGACTTGGGGGCTGCCTCACCCTCCTGCCCCCTGGAGGCCTTGGAAGGGGCAGCCAGGCCCACACGGGGCAGGCGGACACGCACCCGGCCTCGACGCCCTGAGGCCCCTTCCCCACTGCCCTCTTCTTCCTCCTCCTCGGGGCTGGGGGAGCCCTCCCCTGCGGCCGCCTCGCCCTGGCTGAAGCCCACACGGGGCAGCCTGAGTTTTGGGCTCTTGACTTTCTCGCCATCCTCGCCCCCCTCCTTGGCTCGCACCAGGCCAAACCGGGGCAGCCGTACCTTGAGCTTGTGGCCGGCGTCCCCCTCGTCCTCTGCCACCTGGTACTCGGCGTGGCTGCCCACAGCAGGTGGGGAGAGCTCCACGTCGGGCAGCGACAGGTGGAAGGAACGCTCGGCCCCTGTGGACTGTTCCTCAGTCCCCTCTGCCCCTAGCCCAGCTCCTGCCCCCAACGTGGGCATCTTCAGCCGCAGCGCAGCCCCCTCACCCGTGGCTGCCTCACCCACCTGTGCCTCGCGGCCCAACCCCACGTCCAGCTCAAGCTGGGGCACGGTCACAGCAGGCATCTTGAAGACACCCTCACCCACCAATAGCTCACCACTGGCCTCCTGGGCTCCAGGCAGGGACAAGGTCACCTGGGGCACCTGGACCCTGTAGCCCACTGTGCCCTCTGAAGCAGCAGCACCCTCAGCCTGCTGCCCCACGGTGGTACCCAGTCCCATCTCCCCAAAGCCAGTCAGCTCCACCTGGGGTAGAGAGATGCCCAGCGGGGGCCCCTTTGGTACCCCCTCCTGGCCCTCAGCACCGACCTGCCTGGTCGTGGAGACCTGCAGGCCTGACAGCCGCACCCCGCTGACAGCCACTGCCCCCTCCGCCCGGCCTTCCTCCTCAGCCCCCAGCGTGACCAGCTCCACCTCGGGGAGCTTCAGCTGCCTGGCCGTGGACTCGGGCTTTTCCCCCGGACTGGTGCGCCCAGCCTGGACGTCCGCTTCCTTCCCCCGAGCCAGTCCAAAGGAGGGCATTTTTAGCTTGGGCACCTTCACCTTCCCATCCCAGCCCCAGCCTTTGCCCTCCAGCTCGGCCGCCCCTGGCACTAGTTCGCCTGCCTCAGTGTCCCGGCCTCTGACCCCAAACTTGGGTAGGGCGAACCGGGAGCCCTTGAGCTTGACGTCGGCCCCTGCCACCTCCACCTTGCCCGCGGGCAGATGGGCATCCAGACTGAGCTGCGGGATGGACAGATCGAGGGCGGGCAGCAGGCCCGCCTCCCCTGCCCCTTTGGCCTCGGCCTCCGTCCCCGCTCGAGCCTTGGGGAGTGAGATGGCGAACCTGGATACCTTTAATTTGGTGGCCCGCCCAGCCCCCTCAGCCTCTGCCTTGGCCGCCTTTGGCCCCGAGAGTCCAAACTTGGGAAGAGAGAACTTGGAGGAAGAGGTCTTAGCTTTCATTTCCATCAGCTCTAGCCGCCCTTCCTCAGCTTCCACTGTGGGCAACTGTGGAGTGACGATCTCAACAGAGGGGACCCGGAAGCCCGCTTCCCCCACCCCTGCTGCCACCCCAGCGCCGTCTGCCCGCTCCACCTTGCGTACTGCGCCTGCTTGGACCTGGCCCTCCAAGCCCAGGGCCCCTGGCAGGTCTAGCTCCACTGAGGGCAGTGTGAGGGAGGGGGCACCCACACGAGCCTCGCCGCCCACCTCTGGCTGCAGACAGGGAAGTGTCACGAGCTTCCCTGAGACCTCAGCCCCCGCCTCGCCTGGCTTGCCTCCTGCCGGGGACCCTGGCCTCCCCAGCTTGGGCATGGTCATCTTGGGCATCTTGAAGCCAAACTCGGCCTGCTCAGCCCTGGTAGCTTTGACCTGCACCTCTGGAGCCGTGGGCAGCTTCACCTCCCGGGCCTTTGGAAGTCGCACATCTGGGACCTTGGGCACCTCCATTTCTGGCAGCCGCATTTCGGACACCTTCGGCAGCTGCACCTCTGGGAGGCGCACGTCGGGCACGACCATCTCAGGCACCCTGGGGAGTTTTATCTCTGGGAGCTTCATGTCAGGGACTTTCATCTCTGGGACTTTTGGCAGCTGCACCTCCGGGAGGCGCACATCCGGCACGGCCATCTCGGGCACCTTGGGGAGCTTCATCTCAGGGAGCTTCATTTCCGGGACTTTCGGGAGCTGCACTTCCGGCAGGTGGACGTCAGGTACGGCCATCTCAGGCACCTTGGGGAGTTTCATGTCTGACACCTTTGGCAACTGCACTTCCGGGAGGCACACATCGGGCACGGCCATCTCGGGGATCTTCGGGAGCTTCATTTCCGGGACTTTCGGGAGCTGCACTTCCGGGAGGTGCACGTCTGGCACGGCCATCTCGGGGATCTTCGGGAGTTTCATCTCAGGGAGCTTCATTTCCGGGACTTTCGGGAGCTGCACTTCCGGCAGGCGCACGTCAGGCACTGCCATCTCAGGCACCTTCGGGAGCTTCATCTCTGGGAGCTTCACCTCGGGGACTTTCACCTCGGGCACTTTCATCTCAGGGACTTTCGGGAGCTGCACCTCTGGGAGCTGCACTTCCGGCACGGCCATCTCCGGCACTTTGGGGAGTTTCATCTCTGGGACTTTTATCTCCGAGACTTTTGGGAGCTCTACCTGCGGGAGTCGCACGTCAGGAAGGACCGCCTCAGGCACTTTTGGGAGTTTGATCTCAGGGGCTTTGGGGAGCTTCACTTCTGGTCCCTTGGGCGCCTTGACTTCAGGCCCTGACACCCCAATGCCAAAGGAGGGCATCTTGATGGTGGGCAGCTTCAGCTTGCTCTCAGCTACGGCTTCAGGGGCAGCAGGTCGCTCCAAGAGAGAAAGCCCAAAGGTGGGCATTCGAAGTCTGGGCCCCTTTGCCCTGGCTTCCGGGCTGACCTTAGCCACCTTGCCTTCAGCAACTTCCTTGGCCCGAGCCCCGAAACGGGGGAAAGTGAGGCGAGGCATCTTCAGGGCCACCTCAGGTGCCTCTCCCCGGGCCTCTGCTTCTATACCCGGCAAGGCCAGGTCCACTCCCACGGTAGGCGCTGCCACGTCTAGGGTGGGTACCGTGACTGCCACAGCACCTTCCCGGGTCTCCAGGCAGGGAAGCGTGGGCAGAGTAGGTAGTGAAGGCAAAGGAGGCAGCTCCACTTGGGGCACTTGGATGCCCACGGCTGTGGGCTCCTGAACGGGGGCAGCTGGGGCTGCCAGCCCAAGGGTCGGCAGGTGGAGGGCAAAGCCACTGGTGATCTCTGCTGAGGGGGCCACCTCCCCTGGCCCTTTGGGGGCTGAGACCTGGGGGACACCCACCTCGGCGCCTGGCAGCCGGGGCCCAACCAGCTCCACCTGAGGCGCTGTGAAGCGAGGCCCTGCTGCCACCTCAGCCTCTGCCTTGGCCTTTCTGCGGGGAGGAGCGGCAGCAGCCAGCCGGGCTGCCTGAGTCTCCTCGGCCACTTCTCGAACCCGAAGCCGGGGCAGCTGGAGGCGCCGGCGGGCAGGGGCAGCTGGGACAGGACCCTTGACGGCCTCGACTTTAAGACCCCGACGCAGCCGAGAGAACTTAGGGAAGGAGAATTCGACGTCAACAGGGGCCAAGTCTGCAGGGGCCCCTAGGGCCCCGGGCAGCACCATCTTCTTCTTCTTCACAGGGGACAGACTCTGGATGTTCTGGGGAGAGAGGAGAGAGGGGGAGGCAGTGGGACAGTGGGAGGCTGAGGGCGGACAAGAGGAGCCCCACTAGCACTGCACCACGATGGGGATGTATGTGTTGAGTGAGCACGTTTTGTCCCCCAAACACCATCCCCACTTTTTGCCTGTTATTTCACTGTTACTGCCCAGGAAGGCAAAGGCATTCATTCATATAGATTCTCACAGTGAGTCAACAGGAGTGTGGGAGCTACAATGTACCCAGACTTCTAGGACCGTAACTGGGATTTTCTCCAACACCCTCATTCTAGAGATGGAGAAACTGAGGCACAGGGAGGGAACGAAATTTGCTTCAGCAAGTGAGCAACGCTCAGCCTTGAACCTGGCCTTCCTGGTTCCCAATACTCCAGTTCAGGACTGGTGGGGGTGCCTCTCCATGTGAGTGAGAGCCACGGTCTGGAGTCAATGGGTCCCCCTCCCGAGGGAAGGGTTTACAGAACGAGTACCGGGGCAGAAAGGTGAGATTAGCTGTAGGGTTAGTAATGAGATGGCCCACGGTGGAGGGGAACAGGGCTCACGACGCATTGATGGGGTCGCCAGGGCAATCCAGGCCCAGGGCCGGGGCTGGGCTCAGCACGCGTACCAGCTTGGCCACCTTGGCCCGGGGGCCCTTGATCTCGTAGCCAGCCACAGTTCCGGGCCGTAGTGCCAGGTCCCCAGTGGGCACAGTGCGCTTCAGACAGAAGGAGACCTTGTAGGGCTCTGCGCATTGCAGAAGGCGTAACGCATCCTCGTACTTGAAGTTCTCAAAAAACACGCGGGCGCTGAGCAGCTGGTCCCCTGTAGCAAGGTGGAGGTGGAAAGCAAGTTGTAGACAATTCCCGGCTCCTCCGTGGCCTACTTGCACGCAGAACGGTGGATCCAGTGCGCTGAGGCCCCGCCCCAATTATGGCTTGCCCCGCCCACCCAGAGCGCAGAGTGGAGTGGCAAATCTCTGCCCTGTTAGAGGACCGCAAATCCTTGGCCTTAGCTCCGCCTCTTCCAAACCCTGCACAAGCCCGTGCTCCTTGAGGTTGGCCAGTCACTTTTCATAACCCTTACCCGTCCTCACATTTCAGATACTGATTTTGCTTTCATTCCTGAGAGAGCAGAATCAGAAGGAAACTTCTAGAAGCTCCCACCCCATCTACCCAAACACCTACCTGCTTGTGGTGATGTACTTTACTGTCCCTCCTGTCCTCACTCCTAGCTCAGGTCAATCCACACCACCTTCTCAAGGATGTCCTCGAGTGGTTCCCTCCTTTCTTCCCTTCATCATCAGTTTGTCCCTCTCTCCTACATTATCCCATTAGCATACAAACATGCTATTCTCTACTTAAAAAAAGCTGACTTGCCCTTACTCTCCCTCAAGCTCCTGCCCCAGTTCTCTGCTCACTTTCACAGCCAAATGCACGGAATTGTCCAGCAGTATTATTTCTACTTCTCCCCTTTGGCCATTTCCCTTGAACTTGCTCCAATCACACTTCCATCTTCCTAACACACACCTGAATGGCTCCTCTCAGGGTCCCAGGGAGTGACCTCTACATAGCTAAATCCAATGGACAAGTCGCACCTTTCATCTGCTTGGACCACTCAGCATTTGACCCAACTGCATTTTCTCTCCTCCATTCACTTGTTCACTTGGCTTCCAGGATGCTACTTTCTCTGGTTTTCCACCTGCCTTCCTGACAGTTCCCTCCCAGTCTCCTTGGATTGTTCCTCCACATCTCCCTGACCTCTTAAAGACAGTGTCCCAGAGCTCAATCATCTTCTCCAGCCACATGCTACCTTCTCAGTCTTCTGGGAAGCTCATCCAGGCTCCAGGGCTCCAAAACCATAGATATACTGATCATTCCCAAGTGTACCTCTCCAGCCTAGCACTCTTCCCTCCATGCTATAGTCATATCCAACTGCCCCTCCACAACACTGCCTGGGTGCCCAAGAGGCACTTCTCATTTCACAGATCCAAACTACACTCCTGGTCTTCCTCCTCCAAACGAGCTCCAGCCCCTGTTCCCCATTCGCAAGACTCCATCCTCAGGTCAAAACCCCTGGTCACATCCTTGACCCCCTTCTTTCCATTACACCACATATCCAGTCCTGAAGGCTCTTCCTTCAAGTATATTCAGATTCCAAACCCTTCTCATCACCTCCATCAACACCAGCTTGGTCCTGAACATCACTGTGTCTTTCCTGGATGATCACAGAAGCCGCCTTGGTGGTCTTCCCTGCTCCATACCCTGCCTCCCAACAGTCTACTGTTAACGAAGCAGTTCAACACAATCAATTCACGTCCCTGTCTGCTTGCAGCCCTCCCAGAATAAAAGCCAAAGTTCTCACCATGGCCTATAAGGTCCTCTAAAAATTGTCCTTCCTCTTACCTTTGTGATCACATCTCTTACTCTCTTCTTCACTAACTCTATTCCATCCACACTGGCTTCCTTGTTATTTCTCCAAGCGAGGCACACTTCCACGTTGGGGAAGACTTTGCATTGGCTGTTCCCTGTGTCTGGAGTGCTCTTCCAGATGGCCACACAGCCCTCTCCCTCATCGCCTTTGGGCTTTCTACCTTTCCCTGTCCATTCCATTTAAAACTGCCGCCTCCCTCCTGGCATCCAGAGCACACATCACCTTCCAGTTATACTTTACTTATTTTGTTTAAATCTGTTGGCTTTTTGTTGTTCACTGCTGCGACCCAAGCACCTAGAACAACTTCTGGAAATGGAAGGCACTTAGTAAATGATTTTTGCATGAAGAAACCACTCAGCCTCTCCATTTTCCTAAATTCTCTCTCATCTACTAAGCTCCTCTCCCAGCCTCATCGAAGTTGTTAACTCCACCCCTTTTCTCGTGTCCTAACTACAAAAACAGTAACTAGCAACTACCAAAACAGTAACTAGCACCTGCCTACTGCTTACTATAAACCACCTAGCTATGTGCTAAGTGTTTTCAAACACTGACTCATTTAATCATATAATAACCCTATGAGGTAAGTACTAGAATTATTTCCTTTTTAGAGATAAGAAAACAGGCACGATCGAACGATCACGAGCTAGTAAATGGCAGATCTGGGATCCAAACTTCACCCAACGTATCTCAAGCGCGGCTCTGAACAAGCGCAACATCGTGCAGACGCACAAGACCACGCCCCCAGACACTTAACCCCGCCTCCTAGTCGTCAGTCACGCCCACATTCCACGGAAGCCAGCCTAAGCCACGGCCACCTGGATTCCTAACCCCGCCTCCACAGGGCTGCCCCGCCCACTAGGGACACTCGCCCCACCCCCGACCCCGCCCACCTTCCTGTAGACTAAGACTCCTGGCTGCCGGTGAGTCCTCGCGCAGCTCGCGGACGAAGATTCCCTCCTTGCCGCCGCCGGCTACGTTGATACCACTGACCCCGGTCTGCGCCTCCGTCTCCACGATGATCTCCACCAACTCCGCCCGCCTCAGCTCCTGTGGAGGGCGGCGACGGGTCGCCAAGGGACGCTAGGACCGGACCTCGCCCAGAGCCCTCCATCGCGCTTAAAAACTACTCTTAAACAGGTCCTCGGGGCACCTGCCCCTGGGCGCGGCCCAGGAGGGACGTCCAGGCACAGCCACTCTAGCATCTTCCCTTTTAGGAAGCGCAGAGGCCGTTCACTCTAACACCGGAACTACTCAACTGTTTGACCCGCGCGCGGGGCTAGCTGAGCCCCAGGGACCTCTGTCGGAAGGGGCGGGGCAAAGGGCAGAGTTGTAGTCAAGGGGCGGGGGAGGAGTGGCTAAGGAGCCTTGGTGACTCAATGGTTAAGTACTTGGCTGCTAACCAAAAGGTTGGCAGTTCTAACCCTTGTGCTCTGCATGGGAAAAGACCTGGGATTCCGTTCCTGTAAAGATTACAGCCTAACCACTGGGAGGGGGATTTATGTAGGAGATCCCGGATAGAGAGGGAGAACAATGTGGAGCAAAACTCAAAATCATTTGGGGAAAAAAAAAAGAGAGAGACCAGGTTTGCTGGTCTGATAGAGCCTGGTGGAACCACTGAAACTATGGCCCCTAGCTGCCCTTCAGGTGTGGAATTGAACCCACACCTGTGGCTTCCAGCCAAACAAAAGACAGGCATATGAGTTGAACATTTATCTGAGGTAGATAACTCCTTGTAGAGAACAGTCATGGGAGAAAGAAGGGCTGTTTATGCACAGGGAGGCAGTTCAGGGGGCTGGAGTGCATGGAGGGATGGACACAGGGAAGAGGTAACTATTGGGAGGAAGTGGGAGGGGAGCTGTTGCATTGTGGGAAATTGTGGTCAGTGTCTTGAGACAAAGTGTTTGTGAACTGCTGTGTGGAAAGTGAATTTGCTCTGTAAACTTTCACCCAAATCACAATTTAAAAAAAAAAATTACAACCTACCCTATGAGGCAGTTTTACTCTGTCCTATAGAGAGTCCCTATGAGTTGGAATGGACTGCACAGCACACAGCAACAGCAAGAGAGAAAAGCTGAGATAAGACAGAGCGGTTAAGACCAGATAGGGGCGGGGCTGTGCTCTCTCAAGGGGCGAGGCCAGTTGGGGAGCGTGTGGCTGGATATCCAGGCCAGAGAGGAGGGGCCAAGTGAGGTATACGGCGTGGTGGTGGTGGTGGTGGTGGTGGTGGTGATGGCGTGGCTTGAGACCCTTGGCAACCCCGTGTGGGCAGAAGAGCAAATCACCATGCCTGTCTCCTGAGGCACCGCTAGGTCGGTTCCAACTGCCAACTTCTGGCTAACAGTCCAGCGCTTAACCATTTGCACTGCCCAGCCATTCCAAATAAGAGTACGGAAAGGTGCCAAAGATATGAGAGGGGCGTGGCCAGGGTGTTCAGAGTCCAGGAGCGAGAAAGGATGGGGGCGTATATCCTAGAGGTGGGACTGAACGGTGGGGAAAGGCTCTAATAACAGCAGGACAAAGGGTGGAGTGAAGATAGGATTCTGAGGGAAGAGCTTCCGGTTGTGAGGGGGAGATTGGCTTCCTTGGAGGTTTGAATATGTGTGAGACTGCCCTATTGTGGACTCTGTGATCCCAAGAACTGCCGAACGCCCACAGGAGAGGGAATCCAGTGAAGGAGGGGTGCGTGGGTAATGAATGGTGGACCTGTGGACATGGTATTCCTGGCATTTACTGTAGATGGTGCTGACCTGGCCCTGGCCCAGCAGCACACTGGGGTTCACATCAGAGTGGCCCGGAAGAGGCAGTGAGGGACCTGGGTTCCAGACCCCTCTGGGACCCTGATCTGCTTGCTGTGTGTGTCTGGGGAAGAACCTTGCCCTCTCTGGCCTGTTTCTCTGCTGTAAGGTTGAATGACATGGGGGTACTGAAGCAGTGGGGATCCGAGGAGATGCTATGATGGGCTGGGCATCGAGGCAGACCCAGGAGTTGCGCCCAGGGCGTGGCGAGAGAAAATCAAGGCTGGGTTAGATGCTCCACGGAGGTGGCCCTGGGGGGCACTAAGGGGCTGTTGTTATGTGCCATCGAGTCGGACCCGACTCACAGTGACCCCTCCTTGGGTTTCCGAGGCGTTATTACGGAGGTAGATTGCTCCATCTTCCTTCCGAGGAGTGGCCGGTAGGTTTGAACCACCAGCCTTCTGGTTAGCAGTCAAGCGCTTTAGGCACTATGCTACCAGAGCTCCTACTAAGGGGCTGGAAGGGGGCAAAGTGGGAAGGGCAGGAAGAACAGTGGCAGGAGCAGCAGGGGGCAGCATGACTGTCACCACTACCCTTTGCCCAGCAGGCCCTGGGCTAAGCATTTTGTGTGTAGCAAAGATCCTCCCCACAGCCTTGACCAGTAAACAGAGGACACTAAGGCCCAGAGAAGTGATGTGACTTGCCAAACGCCACATAGTAACTTAGGCAGCTGGACCTGGACATCAGGCCTGTGATCCCAGAACTTAGTGACCTCCCCCAGCTTTACCCACTGCCTGCCTCCCCCGGCCCTGTAAAAAGTAGACCCACCCTGGGCCTGGCAGACATAGGAGCCAGCCAAGGCCGATACTGTATCTCAGTAACAGTGACCAGCTAACATTCAAGGAGGCTTCCCCGGTGCCAGGCTCTATACTAATGTCTCAAGTGTGAGTCATCATCACCTTCTGAGGTGGGGACCATTGACCCATTTCACCGATGGGGAGATTGAGGCCCAGAGAGGTGAAGTCACCTGCCCAGGGTTGCACAGCTGAAGTGGCATGGCTGGGATTTGAGCCCTTGCATGCACAGCCCATGTCCTTAACCCCTACACCATACTGCCTCTTCTGATGAAGAGCTCTGCTGGATTTTCTTCAGCTCATTTGACTCCTCTGAATTGTTGTTGTTGTTGTAATGTGCCATCGATTTGGACCCGACTCATAGCGACCCCTCCTTGGGTTTTCCAGTCAGTATCACTACGGAAATAGATTGCCCAACTTTCCTTCTGAGGAGTGGCTAGTGGGTTTGAACCGCCAGCCTCTGGTTAGCAGTCAAGTACCTTAGGCACTATGCTACCAGAGCTCCTCGTACCATCCGGGATGGTCCACGGACCCATGGGCCCGGACTTAGAAAAATTCTCAGGTGACCCCTCTGACACGGGGCTGAGGCCAGCCAGGGTGACCTTCGCGGGCCACCACAAGCGCCACACCGGAGGCACCGGCGACGACCGGGCCATGCAATGGCCGCTGGGCACCTTCTCCTGTGCATCTTAGTCTAAGAACCAGCCACTCCTCAGGCAGAAGACTGGACGATCTACTTCTATAGAGATACCGCCTTGGAAACCCAAGGAGGGATCGCTATGAGTGGAATCGACTCAACGGCAGTGAGTTTGGTTTGGTTTGGAAGGAGCTCTGGTGGTGCAGTGTTTAAGGCATTTGGCTGCTAACCAAAAGGTTAGCAGTTCAAACTCACCAGCTGCTCTGTGGGAGAAAGATGAGACTTTCATAAAGATTTGTAGCCTTGGAAACTCTATGGGGCAGTTCTGTTCTGTCCCACAAGGTGGCTGTGAGTTGGAATCAGCACATGGCAGTGGGTTTTTAATCTTGGTCCATGCCAGGGACTATGCTAAGCATGTTACCTGTTATTGTTATTATTTTTTTCCCTCACAGTGACCCATAAAATAGACCCTGTTGCTATTTCCAATTCACAGTTCACAGATGAGGCCACTGAGACACAGAGAAGCCAAGAAGTGTCTTCTTGCTCCCCAGTCTGCATCTAGGCATACTAGCTTCTCTCCAGGCCCCAGAAGTCCTCTTCCCAGAATTAGGGACACTCACCTCTGCACTCCGACTCCTGGCCTCCATGGTGATGCTGGGAGTCACCCGGGCCCCAGACGCCTGCTTCCTCTCCTCTTTCTGCTGCAGGACCAGCTTTAGTTCTGCATGGAGCAGCTGCCGCTGAGCCTGTGGGTCACAGGGATGGGGCTAGAGCCTGGGAAAGGATGGGAGGTGCGGGGAGGCTGGGCTTAGAGGGTGAGATCAAGGTAGGTATGGACACAGACAAGAGCCCCGAGTCCAGCTGTACGCTCACCACTGCCTGGGCGCAGGCACCCCCTCCTAGCAGAAGCCCAGCCCGGGGTGCTGCACAACCATCTGCAGGGCTCACGCCTTTCCTCTGGGATCTTGTTGCCTGCCAGGGAGAGAGCTAGGCTTCAGGCTTCAGGCAGGCCAGGGGGAGGCAGTGAGGGGTGTGTGGTGCCAGCCAGTGCTCACCTGAGGGTCACCTCCTGCTCCTTGGGCCTCCTGGGTCCGGGGCTCTAAGAAGGATAACATGAACGGTATTATCAGTTAATGTACCAATTGCTCTTGAGTGCTAAGCCCTCTGACCCTTTCCACACACTGCCATTATGCTATCTCCATATGCAGGTGGGGAAACTGAGGCTAACAAGACCTTTGGCTAAGGTGACACAGCTGAACAACACATAGTAAAGCCAGAATGGACTCCTAGTCTTGTCTGGGAGCAGAGGCCCCTTAGCCAACAACCTTGGTGAACCAGGGGGGACAAATCCACTATAAAATAATTGTAACCACTCCCATGTATTCCAGGTGGGAAATCACATCACTGTTCTGCATTTCAGTTCCCTCATCTGTTAAATGGGGAGAATCTCACAGGGCTGTCGTGAGGGTCAAATGAGTTAATAAATACAAAGTGCCTGGCGCCCCATAAGCACTTACTTTATAAATACTTGCTATTATTATTATTATCAAGAATGACCTACGGGGCGACCTTGGGCCGAATGCCTTACAGGCGTCATTGCGTGTGAGTCTCAGAACAGCCTGGTGAGGTCAGTCCTATTATTGACACATGACAGAGGAGACGACTGAGACTTGGAGCAGAGAAGTCACTTGCCCAAGTCACAGGTGACTGAGCTAGGACTTGGGCTTGTCTGGGAGCCCCAGCCCCGTATATGGGTAATAACAATAGCCAGTGGGTGTTTGAGTGGGTTCTCTTTACTGGTCCCTGTGTCTAGACCTTCTGCCTCGCCGTGGAAGATGCATCCCCATTTTTAGAGGAGGGAACAGGCTTGGAGAGGCAAAGCCACCCTGTGAGAGCTGGCATTCTCACAGCCTCACTCCAGGTCCTTCTGGCGAAGTGGCGATGAATACTGCCTCCCCCACCCACACCCCCTGACTCAAGGCTTGCCCTCCCAGCCCCCACCTGGCATGCCAGCCTGCCAGCCCCCACTCCACAGGGAAAGGTCAGGCCTCGCAATGCACATTCTCTCAAACAATAGTCCATCTGCTGCGCCCAGTTGCATTCCACCCCTGCCCACCCACCCCCAGCCACACAATGGCCCTTCATAGCCCACCCTCACCGAGCAGGACAGAGAACACAGGGACCCCCACAACCTTCTGCTTCACCCAGTCCACCTGCCAGCCCCCCACTGCATCCAAAGGATCCTCTCTGGGTTTCCCAGAGGGTCCTGGTCTCTGGTCCCTCTCCAGCCTCCTTTCTGAGCCCCCAGCCCACACAAGCAGGGAGCAGAGTTCTCTGGACTGGTTGCCATGTCTGGGGTGTTTCCTTGGAACTGGGTCCTGTGCTAGGACCTAGGGGCCTCAGAATCACCCAGGATGTGGTGGCTGTTACAGGAGTGGAAACAGGTTCAGACCGGAAGGGACCTGCACAGGATCCTACAGCCAGTAAAGGGAAGAGCTAGAGTTTGTACCCTTGATCTTCACAGTTGCACTGGAGGCTCAGAGCACCGAGGGAGGGAAGCCCAGTCGAGGGAGGGAAGCCCAGTCGGGCAGCTGGGGCAGGCCCTGGTTGGACAGGAGGGGTTAGGGATGCCAGAAACTAGAATTTTCAGTACACTGTCCCATCAGTGTCAGCCCTGGGCTAGGCAGGTACTTTACAAACATGGCCTCATGAAACCCCATTTCACTGATGAGTAAATGAGAGAACTCCTAAACTAATAGTGAGGAGCTCTGGTGGTACAGTGGGTAAAGCATTTGGCTGTTAACCAGAAGGTCAGTGGTTCAAACCCACCAGCCACTCCACAGAAGGAAGACAGAATGATCTACTTCCGTTAAGATTTACAGCCTCAGAAACCCAGTGGGGGTCGCTGTGAATCAGAATTGACTCGATGGCCGTGAGTTTGTTTTTTTGGGAAGCTCATAGTAACAGAGTTGGGACTTGAACCCAAATCTGAAAAGCTAACTGAGTACCTTTACAAGGACCGTGGCATACCATAGCATCCTGCACTGGGGGTGGGAAAGCTTATAGGTGGGGCGAGTGGGTTTAGGGGGTTTCCTGGACCACAAGTGCCTCTGCTTGAGGTTCAGGCAGCAAGGGTCACAGCCAGAGGCTGGCACAGGAAGCGTAGCCAGGGCGGGGGAAGACAGAGTGTCCTCCTTCCTCGGCCTGGCCTGGGACAGCTGCCCAGCCCCAGGTTATATTTAGCTCAGTGGTGCCCTTCCCGAGCCACTACCCAGCTCCTGGGGTGGAGTGGGGGCAGCTTCGGAAGGAAACCCACCCCATCCCAGGCACTCTCTGTTCCTAGCTCTGCCCATCTGGGCAGGGGAGGGAGCGGGGAATTGCTGGGGGGAAGATCCAATGGGCCCCCTTGGTGAATCAAGGCTGGCAGGGCCCTCCAGCGCCAGCAGCCCCATTTCATGAGCACATACTACAGTGCTGACCTGGCCCCAGAGTCCTCGGGGTCCCCGTTTCTTGACCTCTCCGTGTGTGCTAAGCTCCCTCCCTGCCTTGGCCCTCATTAAATCCTTGTGACAGCTCTCGGGGGCAGGTACAACTTAGACACCTCTTTAAGATGCCACTGGTGCCCTTCAGAGTGGCTGTGGGGGGAGGGGTTGGAGTTTGGCTCCTGGCCCTTCAGCTGAGCCGGGGCGTCCTGAGGAACCCCCTGGCTTTGCCCTCCACACCCTCTTCCCCACAGCCCCTGCTGCCAACCTTGTCTGGGCACGTTCCCCTCTCAGAGCCAGTGATCTGGTGCACTTGACGATGGAAGTGGGGGTTCACCTGACTAACTCACCCAGAGCCTCGGTAGCCCAGTGGTTAAACACTTGGCTGGTAACCAAAATGAGGGCAAAGGCAGGGGAGGAGTTTAGCACACACTGAGCTCAAGAATCAGGGATCCCGAGGATTCTGGGACTATCTGAGACCATTTACCGGGTAGATGGCCTTGGGCTGCCTCGGTTAAAACCTTCCTGCAGGCTCTTCCCTAGTTTGATCACTTGGGCAAGGTATTGCACCTCTCAGGGCTCAGTTTTCTTATCTGTAAAATGGAGCCAGGAAGAGTGGCTGTGAGGCTGTGTGAGTACACAGCAGACATAAGGTACTTGGAATATTCCCAGTATACAGTAGGTGTTCAATTAATGTAAGCCAGTCTCTGACAGGAGCCCCAGGAGCCCAGTGGTTAACACCTGGCTGCTAAGTGAAAGGTGGGCAGTTTGAACCCAGCCGCTCTGCGGAAGAAAGATGTGGCAGTGTGCTTCTGTAAAGATCACAGCCTTGGAAACTCTAAGGGATACCAGTAGTTCTGCTCAGCCCTGTAGGCTTGATACGAGTCAGAATCAACTCAACTACAATGGGTTTGGGGGTTTTGGGCTTCTGACAACAACAGGGTGTATACATGGGGGGAGTGTCTGCATCTCTGTCCCCTACTCAGCCTTCGCTCCCCAGTGGCCCTACTCTCCTCCCACGAAAGGAGAACTTTGGGTGGTACAGCCTTGCCAGCCCCCTATTCCAGGCCCAGAAAACCTGCCCTACCCCAGGCGTCCTGCCCCAGCTCTTCCTAAGTAATAGCTCTTTTAATCTCACACCAGCACTTGGGGGGGGGGAGGGATCTGTGAGCCCATTTTAGATATGGGAAAACAGAGGTACAAAGGGCAGAGTATCTTGCCCCAGGCTATAGAACCAGGAAAAGGGAAGAGTTGGGGTCTGCCTCCAGAGCCTGTGCCTCTCGAGCCCCAGGCACCCTCCCAGCACCTCCCAGGACCGTGGGTCTCATGCCCACCACTTCCAGCCTGGCCCAGAGAGAACTGGCCTGCCAATTCCTTACCGCTGGGCCTCCAGACACCTTGAGTGCTCCAGTCCGTCTGCTGCGTCCCAGCCCCAGGCTGGGGGGGAAAAGGAATGGGAAAGGGGAGGAGGGGTAGACCCTAGCCATTGGCTGCCAGGGCATGATGTCACCAGAGGGTGGGTGGCAGAGAAACAAACATCCCCCTCTGTCAGCTACATCCATTCTCAAGGGGGTGGGGAGCCAAGAGACGGTCACCTTTCCCACCTCTCCCGTGCCTGGACTAAGATCCCCACCAGGAGCCCTGCCCCAGCGGTTTTTGCACGTTGCTACTCCCACTAGGAAGGTTGGGCAATCTACTTCTGTAGTGATACCACCTGGGAAACCCAAGGAGGGGTCGCTATGAGTCAGACCGACTCGACAGCACTTAACAACAACAACACTCCCACTTGGAGACTCAGGACCCCCTCACCACCCTGTCCTAGCTCCTTCACTCAGGCATGGCCCTCATGGTTCCAGAGGCCCCTGAGATAAGCTCCCTCCACCACATCTCACAGATACTTTTAGTTCAAATCCCAGCTTGGCCACTTTCTAGCTGTGTGACCTTGGGCAAGTTACGGCACCTCTTTGAACCTCACTTTCCTCACCCTAAAGACCTCTAAACAGGGGTAGTAATAATGCCTATCTCGTGTTGTTTCGAGGACTAAATGAGTTGAAAAAGGCTAAAAACTTAAAACAGTGCCTAGCACAGAGTGAGTGCTGTTGTTAGATGTCATCGAGTCGGCCACAACTCATAGCGACCCTGTGAACCAGACACTGCCCAGTCCT